CTCAATCAATGTTTGCTGAATTAATGGGGCATTTTTTTGCAATGCAATGTGTATGCTGCTAATAATTTAGGGACAGACCAAACGATTTACCACTTTATTTTCAAAATTTTATTTATATAGAATCTTCAGAATGTTTTCCTTTAATTTTTACAAGGTAAAATCCCGAAGCTTAAAATCAGATATTTTATGTCACGGTTAAATACAGGGAGGAGAGAGTTCAATCATTTTGAGGAAAAGCTTTCATAATTGTACAAACATTAATATTTACAATATTCTTTAATCTAGATATAGACAACATAGCATACTTAAATGTACAAAATAGTTATAACCATTATATTTTATTACAGAATATTCCCCAATTCAAACTAATAAAAGAAATCCATCAACACTGATAACACGTGGGGAAAACAACAGCAAGAGCTTTATCAATAACCACAGTAAACGTATACACAATACACAACTCACACATCAAACCCACAAATTTAAAGACTAATCTATTGAAATCATGCTAGAAGCTAAAAACTATTTTATAATTCATAGGTTGAAACAGATGTTCTGTGATAACCTATGAAACAGGATACAAACTATGAAATCATATTTAACATATTTCCTAATTCCTAAGAGACTACTCTAGGGAATCTCAAAAATAGAAAATCAGGCATTTTTCCCTGAAATTAAAGTTATGAATACCTTCATAAATATATCCAAAGGAGAAAATAAAAACAACCCAAATATGATGAGTTAGTTTTACTTTCTCAAACATAGCTGGGTAGAGAGTCCCCGGCCAAACCACAGCTTCTCTGGGATATTTCAATGTCCTCCTAATTTAGGGGGATAAACATATTTATTCTCTGCCTTGTTCCAGAAAGGATTTAAGGTGGCTTAAAAGCCAGATTCAGAAAATACCAAAAAGCACAAATTACAGGTTAAATGAAAAAACAGAGAAAACAGAGTTTGGGGGAACAGCACCCATAAAACCATTTAAGAAAAGATCAGGAATTCAGCTAAGCAATCCACATTATTCTCCACAGGGATTTTCTGGAAATATTGCAAAACATGGTATTAATTTGAAAGAAAAATATTAAACTACTGGAAAACAGGAGATGCAGATCAAATTTGTTAAATTTTGTATTAACCCTGATGGAGTAGATGATGATAAAAAGGCATGTGCTTTTTTCTTTGTGCATGGGTGAAATAAGTTTTCCTAAATGCCATAATGTGTGACTCTAGATTTAGTCTCTAGCTATTGGTAGAGGAGAGTGTAGGTGAAAAGGAAAACAAAATTTGGGTACCCTGACTTAATTTCTACTGAGAAATCCACCAACTGATTCCTGTTGATGATGTGAGGACAGGTAGCTACATTCCAGGTGGTCCGGTGTCATATGGCTCTTTGTAAGTACAGGACAAAGCATCAATCCTAGGGAGTCCTGACTATACACACTGAATAACATTCCTCCAGGTCCTACAGCCCAGTGCACTAGGATCCAGCAAGATAAACAAGGGAAACTGAAAAGCAGGAGGGCTGCTCAGGTTGGCATGCTGAGGCCAGTCTCTGTTGCTGCCCAGACAGCTGCAGAAGCTCTGACTCTGCCGACAGTCTGCACAGCACACCCCTCACCCCACTCCAATAGGGGAGGAGTTATGGAGAGAAGGCTGGGGTAGCATTAATCAGCTTCCGGGAAATGTGAATGGGTCTGTTCAACTCTACTCTTCAGGCCCTGCTCTCAGCAAATGACAGAATGAACGATCTTGTACCTAAATGCTGAGAGGTTAAGAAGTAGAGGGAGTGGGGATGAAGGCGATAGGTGTGTGGCATGAGTTTCAAAACTACTGATGAAGGATCAGAACAAAAACATCTACCTGAAAACTAAAACTAACCACTGTCTCCTACCTTTTTTTGAGGATGAATGGTCCTAAGGCAATACTCATGAGTTGGAGTAAAGAAGGAGTAAAGAAGGAAGTTCACGTCCATAGATCTAAAGCCGCAGGGAACTGCAATGTTCTTGGCTGGGGTGGCAGAGCTGCCTGAGGGCTTGTGAGGCAGGCTTCACAGGGGAGAGCGGGGAGAGGGTAGTTTTTTCCAACAATACCTTTCAGAATATAGGCAGGACCAGCTCATCTGTGAGGCACCACACCTCAGGCCCACAATCCTTTTAGAGGCCCATGAAAATGTTCTAATTTCTTTTAAATTCAGAAGAAAAAAACTGAACTTTTAGATTGAAGGACATGTTTATATATAATATTAATTTTATACAAATCCAATCGTAATGTATTAATTTTTAATTTTTTATGGAAGAAGAGGTCCAAGGTGGCAAAAGCGTCTAAGGCCCAAAAAAGCCATAATGCAGCTTTGAATATAGGCCAATGGCTCAAGGCTGACACAATGGAGGGGAAGGAGAGTCCGATCTTGTTGATCGTCTTTTTTCTGAATGTTACTTTGGGATTAGATTTTTAAAGAGGGCTAAGTCTAACAGTGGCGAAGTACTAGTGTCAATTTCCACTAGCCAAGATGGAAAAAGAAAAAAAAAATTAAGTTCATTATTTTATTGTCTTTGTGTAATAGTAAGAACTACAGGAGGATGAAGAGATTTGGATGTTCTCAAGTCTTATCTCCACTCCTGTAAACATTACTGGAGGTAGGTTTTCCTTTGAGACCTGCCTCCTGAACTTCCTGTATCACACTGCCACTCAGTTCTAGACTCCTCTGTGCTTCTCTGAGGCCCTGGCTCCAACTACCTTCAGTAGCCCAAGGTTGACAGTGACAGGAATGTGGACACCTGCAGTTACAAAAATGTCTTAAGAATATGATCAGAGAGAAAACGAAGCAGGGTGAATGAATAAGGGAGGAGGGGACGAAAATATCACAGATTTCAATGTTCTAAAACTACATGGTCCAAAAAACACTGGGGAAGGATTTACACTAAAATGTTAACTGTGGTTTTCTAGATAGGAGGACTGAGATATTTTTATTTTACTTATGCTTCTCTGTTTTTTAAAAAATATTTTATAAGATAAATGTACTCCAGGAGAAAAAAACACTCAGTAAATATTATTTTAAAAATTGTGCTTTCGAAGCTCTAAACTCTGAAGATTACCATCTTTGAGTTCCTCACAGTATGGCTTAGGTTAGTAAATAGGGTTAACCACTGGCATGCAGAGGATTTGAGGACAGAACTTTTAACAATTTCCACTATTTTCAATCACCCAAATTCATCAATATTACAGGCAAATGTCAACGAAGTACTTATTACCACTTTTTAGGATCTGTTCCCGATGTACAACAAGGAAAATATGTCAAAAGGAAGAGTACGAAGGAATGAATTACTACCTTTTACAGAACCACAGGCTTTCTGCATGTGGAAGGAAATACTAAGTCATAAAATTTAGACCCTTAAATTACAGGTAAAGAGCCTGAGGTCCAGACAGGTTATATGACTTTATCACTGTCACACAGCAAAGCTGGTAACAGAATTAGGGTAAGAATGCAGGTTTCCTGACTTTTGGTCTATAGCTCTTATATCCCCCAGTCCCCAAAGTAATTGCTTTATAAGTTATGTTTCCTTGTTTATCCTAAATGCATATAGAGAAATGGAAAATACTACCAGTTTTCTTTAAACACATTTGTTAATTTGAGAACTGTACCATCTCACAATATAAAGTTCCAGGTAAGTCGTCGACTATTAAAATGAACCACAAGATTTTAGACCTGGAAGGATGCTAGGAAGATAATTTCAACCTCAGTTACACAAGAATTTAGGCCTAGAGAAGGTAAACTATATCCCCAAAATCACAAGGTTGAGTCAAGACCCAGGTCATCTAACACTGGCTCCCTGCTCCTTCCAATATTGTCTTGTTCATCCTTGGCTATTGATTACCTCCAAAAAAGGGGAAAAACAGAGAATCATACCCAGAGGAAATGTAATAAAACTGTCAGTAATAAGAATGCTTACAGAATGGATATAAATCAATTCTATGGTTAACAGAAATAAACTAAAATCTATTAGAATAAATCAGGCAGCATGATTGCTAACTTTTATTTGAAAACATACCTAAATGTAAATCACAATTTTAACTTTCGTTGTTTGAAGATGAGGCAAGATTGTTCAGTGTCAAAGGCTCATGTATCTGAAAATAAATTCGCAGTGTTTACAATTCTCAAGAGCAGAGGTTGGAAGATAACAACCAGCAACCTGTTTTTTGTGAGGCCTATGAGCTAAGAACGGTTTTACATTTTTAAAGGGTTGTAAAAAAATATAAAGAAGAATGTCTGATAGAGACAGTATGTAGCCTAAGTTATTGACTAACTGCCTCTTTATACAAAAAGTTTGCTGACCTCTGTTCTGGATTCAGAAAGTATATGAAACTGGGCTGAATATGTAATACGTCCTGGAAGGCTTTCTTGTTTTTAAAATTAAATCTCTTGATTTATTTAAGCATTATTGCAATTTGCCTCTTTCTGATAGCAAGTAGTAGGGGAAAAAAAAAAATCTAGTTTGAGGGTTATGCTTACCTGTGTTCCAGTTAAACGAGGTTTTATCACATACACTAAGGTAAGTGGACATATAGGTGAACCTAATATTTTATGTATCTGATATCCATACAAAATGTAATTAAATACAATCTGTAATTTAAAAACTGGTAATTTGATTCTCTTCTTTGGGTCTCTTTTCTATTTTTCAGATTTTACTCCATATGCCTCCCCTGGCCTCCCATAGCACATTGTCAGATTTATTATACCAGTAGTTCTCAACTATGATAATTACCTCAGTGACCCCCCTTCTGGATCTCATTTGCAACCATAAATGAATCTTACCAAACACACAGAAAGAATGAATGCTCCTAACGAGACATGAGATACCAAAACAGAATGGTGAGTTGGGTGAGCAATAAAAATTAGAGACCCGTTCCACTCATCAACCTGAATACAACAGTAAAACAGATCACCCTCAGAGCCTACTGCACTGCTTACTGCCACGGCAGGACTGGAGCACCTTGGGAGACCCTGCTTTACACAACATTCTCATCATCACTATAGGAAAACAAGTACACATCTCTTTCTTGTCACGTGATTTACATGGCAAAGTTTAGATTTTGTGAACTAGAGAAAAAAGATCAAAGCCGTGCCATGGTTAACTAAATTACAATAATTTCAAGGTTATAACTTTGAAAGTAGGATCTACTGTGTCAAGATTAAAATGCCTTACTTTAAAATAATTACATTAATAAGTCCTTTGGACCCACAGTACAGTTCTCTTCAGCCACTCCATTCTCTTGTTTGCTTTTATAATTGGAAAGGAATAGATTTTCTATTTGAGTCAAGAATTCTTCAGCAATGAAGCAATTGGTGACTTTGCTCAGAGTTTTCCTCAGACACTCCAAAAGCTGGTTGAAAAAAAAGTTTTATATTTAAATACATAAAAAGTGTAAAAGAGGATTTGCATTATTATCATTATTTTATCCCTTTCCAAATCTCGCATTTTCTAATGGTCAAATGAGAAACATTCTCCCTAAATGTGCTTAAAGATAAACTTGTGTTCCATAATCATGGAGTGTAGGAAGTCACTGTTGAGGAAGGCTTAGGTTAGTCCCTTTATGATTCTATATAGAGACAAACCTTATACACATGTGACGCTTTCTCCTTTGGACAAATATGTGACCTTGATTCTTTTTTTAGTAGCTACATTAACAAAGCAAAATAATCCTGTAAGATAAAAATCTATGTATATACACAGGACTCTACCATTTCAAAATTAGGATGCTATAGTCTATTTCCTGGGAAATGTGCATGTTACTCTTCCAACAGAACAAAGAGAAAGGCTATAATAGAAGAAGGTAAAAAACATTAAAAATAAACTTAATATGTTTAAATTTTCTATTTTCAAATTGCTACCAAAAAAAAAGACAGACAAATGTTGCCAGTCTTCTGGTCTTAACTCATTATACTCATAGAAACAAAACTAGAGGTGAAATAAAAGAATTCACTACTCTTATTTCTTACCAAAAAGTTAAATAAAATGATCATTTAAATTTAATTCTTAGATTTATATTATCATTCTTAAAAATGATCAATTGTTAAAGCTAAACGGAAACATGATGCTTTTGAATTTAATAAAATGAGAAAAATGTTCCCCATTGTGTACAATAATAATCTGCCAAGAAATTTATCAGCCAACACTGACAAATTTATTCTAAAATACTATTATTTCTACATGCAAGCGTGGGCAACAAAACACATTACTAATTATCTCTTAGAAATTAATTTTAGAAAGGAAAAAGCAATAAAGGAAACACAGAAAATGTATCCACAAAGCATTAGGCATCATGGGAAAACACATCGAGATGAATAGCTTTAGAATCTGTGAACAACAGAACCAATTAAAATGAGGGCAGCTTACTTTCTGCAAACAAGTCAGGTCAGAATCCCGGCGAAAGATTTTATCCATGGGGACACTGCTGTTGGAAGAAATATGAAAAGAAACCAATGAAACAAATACTATAAGCTAATCAGTTTTGTAATAAACCATCACTGATGCCGTACATCACAATTTTATATTTAACTTGGGTTTTCTCTCAAAGAGAATTTAATGAGAAACGCTACAGACAGGCAACCATCTCAAACCACAGCACATACCTGTGGGACAGCCTGTATTTTCCTATTATCCATCTTGTCTTTTCAAACACTAATCCCCACCGAGGTTCCTCTAACATCTGTTGTACTTCAAATTTGTAAGGTAAACCTAGAAAAGCATAAAGCAGCACATTTCATCAACTATTTCTTAAATCTCCAGTCTCCTTTTAATTACTTAAAATTCTCTTCAGTGTTTTCACGACCACAGCTTGGCAGACCAGTTGAGCAGCACTTTAAACATAGTGGGCATTCATCAAATATTTATTGCCTGGCTGAACTTGATACATCAAGCATATTAATACCAAGCAATTAATAACAATAAAAGAGTAAAAGTGCCATTTGCATGACAATTCTATGCAAAGAATTGTGAGAGATAGGATGATCACACAATTTATCATCCAAACCAAGAGACTTTTTGCGTAAAAGGGGGCACTATTCATAATTGTGCCAGAACCACAGGCTTAACCTGGGTCTGACCTAGGCAAACCAAGACATATTCCACGCCAGTGATTTTTTTCTACATAGGTTGTCAAGCTGACAACAATGCTATAAGGTAGGCAGCATAATTCCTATTTAACAGATGAGACAACTGAGGCCGAGACAGGTTAAGCTACCTGTTTAGGTTAGTGAAGTGGAAGAGCGTGGAGCACAACCCTAGCAGGTGTGCCTGGCTTCTGAGCCCACACTCCTTCCACCTCCCAACAGGTGCTCATCTAAGACGAGACAGGGAACAGGACTAATTCTGGAGAGGCAGCAGCCGCACTCGAGTCAAAGGTGTCACGCTCAACTCTGGAGGAAAGGAGCCCAAGGGGTGGATATCATGTACACAGCTAGAAAGGAAAAGACATCAAAGGCTGAGCCTACTTGGAAATTTCTCACATATCCTTCAAGATTCCCATGCAACTGTACTTACAGCATATTAAAGAAAAGCTCAGCTGACTCATTACCAACAGCCACCACCATAATAACACATGTTTACCACGCACCAGGCTTGAGGTGCTTTATCCACACGTGCGGCCACTTCAATGAACTAGCTACTACCACGGGCCCCATTTTTGTTGTTGGATTAGGACACTGAGCCACAGAGAAGGTAACTAACCTGTTCATGGGCATATATAACTACCCAGGAAGAGGCAGAGCCAGGATTTGAGCCCAGGCAGTCTGGCTCGAGTTGACGTTCTTAACCTTTAAATTACACTGCCTCTCAACTGGGTGTCTGCCACCATAAGGCTTTTCAAGTAAATGAAATGCCAACAAATCAGAAGGCAAAAGAAAAAAACCCAACTATACTTCCTCAAAATATAAGCACAGTTCGTCAATATGCTCTCAAAGGCTTTTTTTTCCTCATTTTTTTCAGGTGTATGGAAAGAGGGAAGGAAAGAGCAGGCCTGATGATAACTGAACTTTTCATTTCTCAATTCTTCTCCATTTCATTTTCTCCCCTCCAAAAGCTGAAGTGACACATTACAGTCCACAAGCTATTAAGCAAACTCCTTTTGGTGATAACAATCATTTACTTGATATGCTTTGATTACCTATGAAGCACAGACAACATATAATCATAACTACCTATCGAAGACCTATTATTTGCTAAGCTCTTTACATACATTACTGACAATCTTTACCCCTGTAAGCAAGGTAATAATTTTTTCTCATTTTACAGATGTGGCAAAGGAGAATAAGAGAGGTTAAGTAATCTGCCTGAGGCAAAATAACCAATAAATGTCAGAGCTGGGATCTGAATCCAGGTTACCAACTCCTACTCTTAATGAAAGTTAAAACAAGAATAAAGAGAGGTAAATTAATGCATTTTCACTCTGCGCTGATGGCAAACCATGAAAACACACACACACACACACACAATATATATAGCTCTATTTAGCATTAAGAATATTTTTCTAGGTTAAAAAAAGGGCACTAAAACCAGTAAAAATTTCCTTTTGTACTGAATATTTTTACCCACTAAAATATCAGAAAACTAATCACTACGTATATTTCCTGCCTATTACAAGCACAGAAAACGCTTAACCATTACAGATATTTTAAAGATATGATTTGTGTATATACCTAACAGAGAAAAAATTTTAAAAAATAAATAAATAAAGATAGGACCCAAGTTAAAAGTAATGTAACACAAAGTATCCTAACTAAGGCTTCTAGAAAATCTTAATTCTTGAACCAAAGGGTTTCCAAGAGGATCAAAGTGATGGATTTAGGATTAAGGCCTAATACGCAGTGTTGATAATGGTCAAGTCATTTAAGAGAATCTCTGCCCAACAGAAATTGCTGCAATAATGATAACGTTGGATACTTGTGCTCTGTCCACGGCAGCTTATGTGAGCATCTAGTACTGCTCCCTCTAATCCTTTCAAGCAGCTCTCTCCTCCGTCTGGGGGTTTCTGCCCAGGCAAGTGCTGGTCTGCATCTTGCTAAATACTAAATCTGTACCTTTTCTGGAGTTTGCTCTCAATGTGGATTTCTGCTCTCTGGTACTCTGTCCTGAAAAGTGAGTTGCCTTGGTCTCACCTCCATCACCTCAACTCAAAGTCTGCCAGGCTCTAGGTGGGTTTCTCTTCCTTGTGCCATACGTGATAACTCTTTTAAGTCAGTAAGCTAGGGTAATTTTGGGCTCACTTCATTTGTTTCCATCTCCCAGCAATCATATCCCTTTACTGCCTGATGTTACATCCTAAATACCATTGTTTTAAATATTATGTCCAGTTTTTTGGTTGTTTCAGACAGGTCCTTGTTACTTCACTTTGGCCAGAAGTGGAACTCTAGAAACTGAATTTTAAATTTCATATAATTCTAATTGATTTAAAGTCACATGTGGCTAGTAGCTACTGTATTGGACAGCATCAGAGAAGAGCCTCACTCCCAAAATCTAGCAGATTGTGACATTAAGAAATGATTTAAATTGAGAACAAGTTAATTGTGATTCCTCCTTTTGTAACTTTTTGTAAAATTATACTGGGCTAAACAATGAGGTATATATGTGCTATGCTCAAAGTGGGCATTTTGGACTAAAGTTAATGTCAATATTATTCATTCAATAAAAACCTACAGAGCACTGACCACTTCCTAGGTGCAAGGCAACTGATTAGCTGCTGGTGATACAAAGACAAAGAGGACGCAGTTCCTGCTCTTTGGGGCTCACAGTTTAGCAAGGCACGATCAACAGATGAATTACATTAAAAGACAAAAGTGATCATGAAGGTAGGAAACAAGTGTTGCAGGTGCACAAAGAACAGAGCAACTAATAGTAAATGACATGGGGGTAGTGCTGGGGTCTTTACCAAAGAGAGAGCATCTGAGTGACATCATTAAGAATGAAGAAATTAATTTGTTAAGCAAACATTCATTTATTACCTACATTACGCCAGGCCTTGTGCTAGAAACTGAGGATAGAAAAATGAGTATAATACAATATCTACCTTCAAGGAGCCCATGGACTAATGGGAGAGAGGACAACAAGCAGTGACAGTACCCAGAGAGGACAGTGAACGAGAGCAGTGGTAGTAAGGACAGAGAAGAGAGAATCAGTATCCTAGAGATGTCAATTGTTTCCTCCAATCTTTTCCTTTCCACCCACATTCCCCTCTTACCCTCCCCTACCTTCCCTAGTCTGCTACACTAATTCCCTATCCAACCAGAGTTGACTGGGCCAGAAGTGGACATAAATCCCAAAGGAACCAAGTCATATGACAGGCTAAACCAACCAAATTCTTTCTTGAGATAGAGTGGAAACTAAGAGATATAAAAATAGAGTTAGCTATTGTTAAGCCTAAACTGAGAGGTCATGGAGAGCTGGTAGTAGGGTGGGCATTTTTCTTTTTATTTTTTTTATTTGAATGCCATCGTAGAGAAAGTCAGTTTGCATTTATCAAAAAATTTTCATAACAATAGACTTTGTCTATTTTGCTTATTGCAGCGTCTCCAGTACCTAACACGCACACTGCTTGGCCACGACTTTTCTCCACGTTGTAATCCTTTTGCCCAGTGGCCGTGGTAACACAGTAGGGACTTGAACCTAGAAGAGTATCATAAAAGGGAAGAGGGTGGCTGCACTGCATGCTGTGCTAACAGTGATTCCCTAGTTGAGGGCACAAACTTTTCCATCACATAGTTTTGCATAGCTGTAAATTCTTTGATTTGTAAGATTCAAAGAAATAAAGGCAGAAATAGGATGAAGTTTTGTTGAAAACTTACGGTATGAGCCATCTGGGCTAATTTCATCACTTATAACCAGGCAGGTAATCTGGGAATAAGGTAAAGGATTGTTTCGATTATAAGGACTAACAATCATTCCAATGAACTTTGCACCGCCTCTGGAGAAGTAACTCTACAATTAAAGGAAAAGTAGAATTTGTTTCAACTACATAAATTTAAAAGTCAGTATTTACCCATACCAACATTTTAAACATCTAATGGAGGAAAAGGGAACACAAAGGTGTGATAAAACCTTCATATCCAAACAGCAGCTAAATGTAATGTCTTATATATTCATTCCACACAGTCAATTTTTCAGGCCGTAATGTGTTCAACCCAACCTGAAACAACCCTTAAAAAGATCACCTGGCCTGCAAGATCCATATTTGCCATAAATATTTTTACAAATTATATTCATTACCCTTCAGTTGTAATCTTTATTAATATGTTAACAATTTATTCAAACAGCTATCTACAGCAAAAACATTCACATATCAAACAAAATTATCTGTATTAAATAAAATAGCTGATTTTCCAAATGTTTAAATAAACATGTATTACTCTTGTAATCAGAAAAAAATGCAAGTTATTTCAAAATTCCAGATGTAAAGAATATTAGAAATGCAACATTTTCCTAGAAGTGTTAAAAAGTATATTGATTTAACAGAAAATGATGAGAGGGGAGAGAATGTGCAATTATTTACAGCTACATACACATAAGCCCTACAAACACACCTGATATTTGGCTTGAGTGTCAATATCTCGTAAGGAAGGATTAGGATCAAAGGCAGGATGAGAATGATACCATCCAATAACACTATAGCCTCGTACAGCCAAGGTTTCCGAGGCCTGTGTTTGTGAGACAGGATCCATCTCACACTGTAGTCCTGTACTCAGACTGTTACAGGGTTCTGCTGCACAGACCTATAAAGGATTAATCCTTATATGATTACACTGAAATCCTGTTAATTCTATTACTTTAATGTTTCAGTTCTTTCATATATAGATACAGAAACTTTTTAGAGTCAAGCTTTTATCTGACAATACCACAGGCAGCCTTTAACTTGCACAATAATTACACTCCAAAAGTGACTGTATGCCTGGAACTCAGGATCCATTTTTCTACTCAAACAAGGTCATGATAATTATTAATTTCCAGGTCAGCTGATACAATATCTGTACATAGTCTTTCAATGACCCCTATTATTTATGGTAATAATTTCAACAGAATGATACACACCAGTTTCAACTATAAGGTTAGCACATGTTTATGGCCTCTTAGGAGTTATAGCTTTTTACTGGTGAAGGCCATGAGGAACCAAAGCCTGGCAGTGTTCCCTCTTTCTCGGTGGTAAAAGTAAACAGGTGCTCAAAACAGTCATGCGTTGCTTAATGACAGGGATATGTTCTGAGAAATGCATCGTTACGTGACTTCGTCCTTGTGTGAACACCACAAGAGTGTACAAACCTAGGTGGTACAGCCTACTACACACCTAAGCTACATGGTACTAACCTTATCGGCCCACCGTGGTATAAGTGGTCTGTCACTGACTGAAACATCATCATGCAGTGCATGACTGTATATGGAATGTTAAGTCACTTCTGGGAATATATAACTTTCTACATTTGCATATTATCATTTATATCATAGGTAAACTCTATATTTTAATTATATCCACTGTAATCTAAAAAACATTTTGTATGGCAGCAGGATTAAATAATTAAAAAGTTTTTTAAAAGAGAGAACTTACTTCAACTATCTTATCAACTTCTGAGTATCTTCCTCCTAACAGACCAATCACTTCTGCCATAGAAACATGAGCATGCTAAAAGAAATACAAGATAGACTTAGCTCAAACATACAAACCCACCTGACAAAAAATCAGAATAAAACTCACTTATCACAGGAGAGTCATCTACAAGTATGGTAATTACGTTTTTCTAAAATAAAAGTAGCACAGTAGAGGAACCAGATGCTAGGCTCAGCGCACAGAGACCTAAGATCTCAGATATATCTTCACTGCCAGCTGAGAAGCTTTGAACTAAACATTCAAACACTCCAAGATGCCATGTTTTCATTTACAAAATGAAGATATCATTTGCTCTCCCTGTTTGGGAAAGGTCTCATAAGGATACAAAGTAAAAATCACTCTGGGTCCTCCTATAGAAAAATATCATAAACAAACACACAACAAATTGGAAGGCTCAGCGATTTACTGCAAACAAGGAACCTCCAAATTATAGTTGTGCTTTGTCGCAGTTATCTAGAAGGCAGCAGACAAAGGATACTAGGAAATGAAAATAGGGTTAATGATGATAAACAGTCTGCAAAAACTCACATTAATTTATTTTCTCTAAAATATGGAAACATGCAATTGTTTGGCTTTTCTCCAAAAGAAAAGACTTATTTTTAGATTCCTTGTAAAAGAGGATAGTTAAGATCCAAAATACACGTCTTCCATACTCTCTTATGCCTGCAATAAAAATACACAAGAATAGAAATCAGAATAACTAAGTAAACACAATAGATTATCCTTACCAAATCCATTATTAAAAGTGCTGCTGTAGCCACTTTGACCAGAAATCGCTCCAAAAAAAAAAAAAAAAAAAAAAAAAAATGGGGGAGCATAAAAATAGAGATTTTGTTCTCCCTAACCGGAACGTCCACCCTTTTCTCCTTTACCTATCACATCAAGTTCTCACCACAACTAAGGCTCAGTGCAAACCAGACTTTTTTAAAAAAAATATATCATTTTCAACCCCAACATGGAGAAACTCTCTCCCATTTCCCATCTCTATCATTCATCTGACCCTTAATGTACCTCTACTTGTCCAATCTTTCACATACATATAGGCCTTGTGCATAAAAAAAGAAAATATATTTTTCTTTTAGAGAAAGAAAGGAAGGAATATTTCACGTCTGACAGGAGCATTATTTATGGTCATTCGGTGATCATAAGTAGTACCTGCTTTTCCTCACTGAAAACATTACAAGGTATCAGTTGGAAGGGATCAAATGAGCTGAAAAAGAAAAAAAAATCACTTCTAGTATAATCTCAGTAACAAGATCAGAAAAATAACATTTATTTACACATTTGAAAATGTTTATCAACAATCTAAACCTAAATTCTGTCTGAGTGAGAAAAAATATTAAACCAGGAGAATTTCTTAGGACATTCCCTTTTGAAAGAAGCACTGTTCTTTTGGACTTGATAAAAAAAATGGGAAATGACAGGACCTTTGGGAAAAAGTAATTCTGTTGTCAATTTCTTTAAGAAAGATGGAAGTTTCTCAAAAATACTTCTGTCAGTACAATTATGTGCTGAGCATAGAGTAAGGACTCAATAAATATTCGTTGAATGAATAAATGGCAAACACGTCTGCTTAAGAAATTAATATATATATAGAAAGTTCTATGACAACACATATTTTAAAATGAAAAAGTAAAAAAAGATGGAAAGAGAAGCATCTAACCAAGGCTAGATTCAAAAGCATGTGTAAATCTGAGAGAAATGTTAGAAAGGCTTTGTGACCAGTAAAGAATTGAGGTTTGAGAAAAATATTAGGAACAATAAAGAGGTTTTTTTAGGTTATGTTCAGAGAAAGAAAAAAACCAAACAAACAAGGAACATGTTCATGTTAACATAACTGGCAGTGAGCAGGACTAAAAGCCAAGATAGATGAGAAAACAGGAAGAGAGCATACATGAGCCAGAGCACTGAAGAACCATAACATGAAACCACAGTCAACCTTTTCTGAGAGCCGAAGAGAATGGGAAAATAATTGGAGGACTAAGAATAGGAAATTACTGGGCTTCTTTTCAAAACATAAAAAAGCAGACTTTAGAAGCAGAGGAATCAGATGTTGAACAATGGGAAAATTCTAGAAAAGATTATTAAATAGCTAATTTGTGAGCCTTTAGCAAGTGAAGAGGTGACTACTAAGAAAAATAATGGGTTCATGAAAATATAAGTTATCGTGGTAAGTAAAACCTAAATTTCATTTTTGATAGGAATGATCTGCTAGACACTAGTAGACTCAAAAAGACTAAATATATTTTACCTGAATGTAAGCAAGACATCTGTTATGATTATTCTGCATAAGATGAAGAAATATGGGTTAACTGTGGTAACATATAGCCAATAGAATAATAATGTGAGATCTGCATTTACCTCAGTTAAACATTTTAATCAGTGACCAGTGGGAGAAAAGGCAAGCTTACTGAACTGTTGTGATTCAAAGCTAAGAAGGCTAACGTGAAAAAAGCGGATCTGAATTTATGAAAATTCTGACAAACTGGAACAATGACTTCAAAATCACAATAAATGTGTCTCATTTAGATTCAGAAAATCAAATGGATACTAAATGAGGAGTCCTAGTTTATGAATGCCTCTATTTTTTACATAGTCTATCTCATTTAATTTATTCTCACAACTGTAAGTTTTAATTTTTATTTTAGAGAGGTGATATATAATGTAACCGTCAGGAATATGGATTCTTAAGCCTTAATGCCTGGGTTTAAATGACAGCTCCACCACTAACAAGCACGGGAAAGTTACTCAACTTTTTTGTGCCTCTCAGTTTCCTCATCTATAAAATGAGAATAATAATATTAACTATTGCATAGGGTTGTTATGAGGATTAAATGAGTTGACATACACGAAGTGCTTAAAACAGCTAACAATGTTGGCTATTATAGTTATTATTTTATAAATGAGGACCCAAGGCTTAAAAAGGCCTTAAGCAACTTACCCAGGGACATACAACTGGTTAAGTACCAGGGCACTTTCCATTGAAAATGACCTAGTGGCATTCCTGGATATCTTGTTTTAAAAGGGACACTGACAAAACTATAGTCTATTCAACGGGGCATCTGCAGGAAGTAAGGGTCTAGAAAATCAAGTCATTTAACTTATTTGGTGATCCTTAATGTTATAAGTTACAAATTTTAGATTATTAAAAAACCTTGCTAACAATCAGCCCCAACCAAAGAGAGCACTAGTCATTTCATGAGGTTACCTATTCATAAGATCTAAGGAGCTGAATGACCACCTGTCATAAACAAGTCCCCTTTACAAGATATCTTGGATCTTACATTCACTAAACCTGAACAAATTAAAGTTTTGCTCAAGGTCTCCCAAATTGATAATAAAACTGAAATAAAAAATTTCAAAAATTTTAGCAGTATTTTTAAACTTAATGTGAACAATATAATGTTGCTACATTGGACATTTTTTCCATACATTTTTCTAAGCATTTGTGATAAGTTAAAAAGAATCACCTTTTTGTTGGCCTTGGCACTTTTGAAGATTTAACAGGTTTGCATTTTCCCTCTTCTCTTCTTCTTGCCAACTCCTCAGCAGAGAGATGCTAAAACATACAACACCAGTTGATCAATCAACCACTGACAAGAATTAAAAAAAAAAAAAAAAAATACTCCTTGAAAACCATATTTGAGGACGTGTGAGTAACAAGACAAAGTTGATGTAGATGTGTCTCCTTCCTGCTACTAACAAATAGAAATGCTGGATAATATATTAAAAAATGGTTCCAAAATATACAGCCATACCAAACCTAAAATTTACTCCATCTCTTGACTTGCCCATTTCAATTAATGGTACCAGTCACCCAGGTTCAAAAGCCTCAGAATCACCTGAGCCTTTCCTCTTACTTATTTCCCATTTCTAGTCACCAAGTCCTACTGTGCTGAGTTTTCTTTCCCAACTGAGAGACACAGCAGCATAACGATAAAGAGCACAGATTCTGGAGGTAGAATGCCTGGCTCTGCTGCTTACTAGCTAGGTGACCCTGGCCAAGTTAGTGAAGCTTTCTGTGTTTCAGTTTCCTCATCTTTAAAATGGGAACAATAACAACGTCATGGTGTTATTGTGAAGATTAAATGAGTTAATGTTTGTGAAATACTGACAGTAATGTCTGACATACTAAGTCCTTTACAAGTATAAAATAAATCTCTCTCATTCTATTTCCATCACCAATCTTACACTCTAGTCCAAATGAACTATGCACCTTTTCCAGAATATGTCTGGTATTTTCCCACATCCATACATTTGCTTATGCCGTTCCCTCAGCCTGGGATGCCCTCACCTACTTTTCCACATTTTGAGATTCTCCTGCTCGCCTTTCATGTCACAGATGAAACATCACATCTTCTGTGAAATCTTCCCTGATCACACCTTTGGGAGGACCTCATATTTCTTGGGACCAATCTTATGGAACTTTCCACAGGTTCTATCTTTCCTACTAGAAATGTAAGTCCCTTTTAGGAACCACATATTACTAACTGTGGTGCCTAGAACAGTGCTCAGGTGTGAGGTTGGGGGCAGGGAATAGGGAAGAGAGAAAGAAGAGAACTAACATTTATTGAGTAATGTACATGCCGGGCTTACTGAGTACCTAGTACATGACCTTCATACATTTTATTTCATTTATTTCACTTAATTCTCACAACAAACCTTTGAGGGAGGTATTATTAGCCACACTTTATAAATAACAACCTGAGATTCAGTGAGGTTAAGAAATTGTTGAAGGTAACAAAGCCAGTAAGTACACATTCGCACCTTCTTTCCATTCTACTACACTGGTTCACAAACAAATTATATATACATAGACTGTGTGTGTACTGTTGCTTATGTTTCTTTTTAGGGCTATAGTTTTTATTAATAGAAATAATACTTTAATATTTGTAATTCAATTTATGTCTCATGCTTGGGACAATATTTTAACTGGTGTATCAGAATATCATTCGATAAATGTTTACTGAAATGAACTGGGCATACCAACTTCCTGGCATCCTGACACATTCTTGAGCTAGAGACCAGAATTTAGGGAAAGATCATCAATGTTCTGAAAATGAGTCAAATTCCTGGTTAAACTGCACCATTAATGCCTTCTACTTTGTTTACTGGTGACTTCTAGACAAACAAATTAACATGGGGAGGAGACCTATAGAAGTAGACATATAAAATAAATGTAATACATGTGACTTTAAGATATACAAATATATACTGACAAAACAACTTTCACTGACAAGCTATTTGAAAAGGTCAAAGTTACCTCAAATGTTTGTCCTTCTAAGTCTTTTGCATTACACCAATTTCCCCATGGATCTCGGACCCTACGTCTCCTTGTGCGCTGTGATGAGATTAAAATAAAGCAAAAAGTAACAAGATTAACTTGGAGAAATCACAGCACGTTAATATATAAAACCAAAATGATAATTTTCTAAACACCAATTAATTTCTCCATTAAAATATAAGCTCTGATCAGAATGCCCGACTAAATTTTATTTTATTAATTTACGTTCAATAGCACTCTGCTCAGAAATAAATCAGTGATGATTTTCTGAATTTTTCTTGGATTTCTTCCTTAATTTTCATTTCCTTTCACCATTTGGGAGCTAAAACACTAGGACAAAAAATATTTTTAAAATCGAAAAGAACCACCAAGAAAATGACTTCCCTTTCAACCTTACTTGTAGTAAAAAACTTGCAAAAACACACAGCAAGAGGTATAACATTGAAAACTAGAAGCAAAATAATTATATCTCAGCCTTAGAAAGGAAAAGATTGCCTAGTTAACTCAAATAGTAAAAAATTACAAAGTTGGTTGACTGGATTACTAATATCCAGTTTTGCAAACCTCAATACTGAAGCCTTTACAATGGACCAGCTGCCAGAAGCCAGCAGGACTAGCACCATCTCCAGCAGCTCTATTTGAAACATTCTTCCTTAATGAAGTAAATCTAGGTAGACATGGTTTACAGCCTAAACACTCTGAGAAAAATACCCACTCGATCATCTATACTTTTTTTCATTTATCTCACCTATTACCAATTTAACAACCTACTTCACTAGTAAAACCAACAAGTCACAATATAACTCTGCCTTTTAGGAGACTTGTAGGTTCAGTTATTTTTAAAATAAGATTCACGAATTTTAAAATACTGTAAAACTCATTAACCTCAAGAATTAAAAATAAAGGCTAAAATATTTCCGACAGCTATTCCAAAAAGTTGAATCTTAAGGTAAGAATTTTAAGCAAATAAACAAAAGATAACTGAAAGAGAAAAAAAGAGCTTAACTGTATAGTTTTAAAAGATACATTAGATTTAGAAACCAAAACCAAGCAGTCTAAGAGCTCTCTAGCAAAATATTATGCTTCTGTGTAAAGTTTGCCAGTGAATTTTGAGGTTTTTTGGTTTGTTTTTGCCTCATAAACCAACATGAAACTGAATGGAAAGCAGAAAAGTGTATGGCTAAGACGAAATACAAGAGAAAACATGTTCTTCCACTAAATGGCCATTTGTTAAACAGTTGAAGAGAAGTAGGCATACGTGACCTAACAGGGTAAGGTGCAATTTGGAGAGATCATTTAATGCGAGAGCTGACTGCTTACCATGGACTGCAGACGCTGGGCGAGCTGGTATGCTTCCACTGTCTCTTTTCTGTCTCGGACTCGTACTTTATCAACTGGTTGTGGCCTGTTATATACAGCCTGTTCTAATGGAAGTCAGGAAGACAAAACAATTATTTTACGAAACTCATTTGTTAAATAGGAAGACCCATCTACACTGACTATAAACTGTAAGCCAACTTCTAAGTTTTTTTATATCCGAGCTTCTACCTTATTCCACAATCACACATTTGATGTGCTACTTGGTAGTTCTCACATAAAAGTAATGCTATTATTATAAGAAGATCTCAATAAAAGGGATAGTTAGGCAATGCGTAATTTCTTTAATTTCTGATTAAATGAGTGCTAAGCCCACTTTGCGAACTTTGGAAATCTAACACAAAAAACATGATTTCATTTTTCCTTTAGTGGCTGAGGAAGCTACGACACCTTAGTTTTCCTGAAAAGCCAGTCTCAATATATAGTGCTTTGGGCAAACAAAGACAGTGAGATGAAGGACAGACCCCAGAGTACACTGTAAATTCTATCCATCTCTACATGAAATGAAATAATCTCTGACAGGAAGTTTTCTGGTTAGTTGTCTTTTCATTGACACAGAATATAGAACATACTCTCTCAAACCACGGGTTACAAGGTTCTAATTACCTTATCACTTTGCAACTACAGCTATTATATTTCTTCAAAATGTTTGTATCAGGTTAATTCAATAAAAGCACAGAATATATTTAAAAATATGCATATTCATCGACTTTAAATTTAAGAAAAACTAGGGTGAAAGAAACTTTCTTCTAGGAAAAATATTTTGGCATTTTTATTACATTTAAGTGTAGAGGCTCATAAATTATTTTATTTAAACATCACTAGACAGTATTTCTAGCATTAATACAGTATTGGCAAATTAAATGGGCTATTATTAGACTTTTCATAAAATTACTTGACAAAGAACTGTATTCTTAAATTATTTCTACCACTTAGGCTGAATATTTTTCCTTTAAAATGACATCACCAATTGTCACTCTAGGCTAAAGGGAAATACAGTATAATCAACAGAAATTTGTTTTACAACAAAATATCACTAATACATTTATTCCATAATGTTATAGCATCTTTCTGAATTCTGTATCTATACTAAATCTACTTGAATTCTAACCATCAAAGAAATTAATGGGTGCTGTAAGGATAAAAAAGGTCAAGTAAAAGATGTTGTTGGGTTTTATTTTTACCACATCCAAAATTGATTGCTCCTATCAACTCGAGGTATGTATGAATCCGTCCAATACAATTTACATCCCCACAGTTCTTCAGGCCAGGACGTACTGAGGTCTTATTTAAGTATTTCGGTTTGCACAGCTCCCTAATTAAGACATGGAAGTACAATGATTTTGGATAAATAAAAACATGAAAAAAAGATTTCTGGAGAAAACTTTTAATATTTGAAATATCTTAAAAATTTACTCACAATTATGTAAATGTGTACTAAATACAATGCTAATACATAATATCCAAGTGTACTTTTTTCTGAAATAAAATATCTTTAAATGACACATTAACTTACAAGTATAGTGTGATTTTTACAAGTATTATTTATTTCCCAATATTAAATTCAGTAGATTCCAGTTATCCCAGGACTTTGACGTTAGAAGCTTATTTATCTACAGATCCAAATTCAAGCCTAAATCTTTTAATAAAAAGGGTACTTTGATAATATATTGAAAGTATTTAGTATTAGACTTTTCCAATTTTTAATATATTACTTATGTTCATCTATTTTTACTTTAATGGACAGTATCTTTTAATTATAAGCTACCTTATAAATGCTTAAAAGTTTCATATTAGTTTTTAATCATTATGCCAATAAATATTAAGTGCTTACTCTCAATGGAAAACAGAAATAGATAGCCTAGAGAATTCCAAAGGAATCAAGAAATGCCCATTTCTTTCTATGAAAGAAATAAGAAGTTTATATAATAAAACATATATTTACTGAATATACTTAATGTACCATGCTAGATGGTATAATATAAAGTGTAAGAGTAACAGACAACTTAATAACAGTAAGAAACAATTACTGAGTGCTTATGCCGGATGCTGTAGTAAGAGTTACGCAACCTTAATCCTCACAACAACTCTACGAAGTAGATATTCTTCTTCTTGTTTTTTTTTTTTTTTGTGAGGAAGACCAGCCCTGAACTAACATCTGCCAATCCTCCTCTTTTTGCTGAGGAAGACTGGCCCTGGGCTAACATCCATGCCCATCTTCCTCCACTTTATATGGGACGCCGCCACAGCATGGCCTGACAAGCGGTGCATCGGTGCGCGCCCAGGATCCGAACCGGCAAACCCTGGGCCGCCGCAGCGGAGCGCGCGCACTTAACCACTTGTGCCACCGGGACGGCCCCTATTATTCTTATTTTAGAGATGAGGAAACAATCAAGTCAGAGGGATTAAAGACTGTTACTGAAGTAACAGTCAGGATTCAAATACAGACATTATAAAACAAGTATTCAGATATCTCATATAACATAGGTATTTCTTACTCAATATTTTATTTTATTCTACAAATATTTATTTTGTGTCCTACGTGCCAGTCATTGTTCTAGGCACTAAGGATAGAGAGATGAATACTAAGTTCCTGACCTTACAGTCTAATGGGGAAGACAGTCAATACATTAATGAATAACATATATTATATTGTCAGGCAGTAGTAAGTGCTAGGAAGAAAGAGCAAGAAGGATAAGGGGACAGTGTAAGACAAATAGGCACAGAGATTTTAGACACGGTGTTTAGGGAAGGCCTCTCTAAGCAGAGATCAAATTTAAAATCATAAATTCTATAGATGTTCAGGGAGGGTAAAAAGTACTTAACTTGTGATGTGGGACGTATCAGAAATTTCACTGAAAAGCTGAGATTTCAGTGTGTCTTGAAAGAAAAGGAAACAAACTACACAAATGGAAGTGAGGAAGCAGGAATGAGCACAGTATAACTGGCTACCAAAGGACTCTAGGAATCTAGAACTGTATTGAGCTAATTAAAGATCAGTCAAATCAAAGGCTTGAAACAGAGCTTAGGACTAGCACAGCGCTGGACAAACTGGAAGGCCTCTAAAAATCTCCGTTGAAGATATCATGATGACTCACTCATTCAATCTTCCCCTGCAAATAGAGCGCCTTCTGTGTCCCAAGCACCGTTCTAAGCACTAGGGATGTAACAGTGAACAAAACAAAGATGTGCCCTCATGGAGCCTGCATTATCATGGGGGACGGTGGGGAAGAAGAGGTGACAACACACAAATAAAAATACAATATTTTCAGTGGTAATAAGTTCCATCAAGATAGATAAAATACAAGGCACAGAATGAGAGGGAGAAGGTATGTGAGCTATTTTAGACAGGGTGCTCAGAGAAGGCCTTTAACTTCCCTTGAGCAGAACTGAAGGAGACGAGCCAGATTCATCAGGATCTGGGAGGGGGAAGTGTCCAAGGCAGAGTGAGAAGTCTGGGTCAAGGGCCTGAGCTGAAAGTGTGAAAATAACGAGTCAGGACAGCAGACTCTCGAATCACCTTCACCTAATGTGACCTGGAACAAGTTCCTTTTCCTCTCTGAACCTGGTTTTTCTCATCTGTAAAATGAGGGCAAGGTTGTCAAAAGGAATGGAGATGATTTAAACAAAATGCATGGCATTTGGCAGACATTCAATAATGGTATCGGTTACTATTTTAATTAAAAATTCCCCTAAACAGAAGTCAATTGCATGTGCTTTTATAAAAAAGATCTCTTAGCTACATACAAATCGAGCAAGCCATCTTTTATTTTTAAAATTTTAACTCTTCCTTCTATTTTTTTTTTAACACCACCTCCAGTCCCTAACCACACTCTCTTCTATTTCTGAGGAGCATAGATTTGAGTTCCTGTTCAAAACATTTTTTTTTGCTTTCACACTGTTCTCCTCAATCACCATACTGAAACAGACACATTTAACTGGTTTCATGAACTAAGACAAATGACATTAGGAAACTACTGCCATAGAATTTATACTAACTATATAAATCATTCTGCCTCATTTAAAATAAAAAATTTAAAGTAACAAATGAAATTTGAATAAAGTAACATTAAGTACTCATTGATGATTCATATAGACATTTTTGAATTGGTTAGTATTCTGAAGACCTTCAATTTTGGCCAGTCATCCTCTTACTTCCAAAAACAAATGAGATACCAATAGAGATCTAATTTAATTTACCTTTTTTAACAGCACGAATTAGGCAACGTATAATAATGGAAAGAGTGATTTACAGAAGTCTTCCTTCTGTCAGTAGCTGGCTGTATAATCAAAGGCAGGTCCTTAAACCTCTCCCAATCTCAGAACCGTTTTATCAAATAGAGAAAATACCACCTTCCTATTTTACAGGATTGTTGTGAGGAATCAGATGATACAAAAAAGCTTTCTGTAAACTGTAAAGCACTATGCAAATGTCAGGAATTGTACCTTGTAAGTATTCTTTACTTTGATACCACATTTATCCAGAAGTTTTACTTTTAGCAATGTCAACCATCTGCAAGATAACCACGAGTCAAGAACAAGAACAGAAGAACAGGGCTATCTTTAAAAGCCAAATTACTTAATATTGTGTGGGTAAAATGAAGGTTGCTGATTTAATAAGCCTGGATATTTGTTTTCCTTTGATAATCTTCCTAGGTTATAGCAGAAGCCCTCTGTAAAGATGGCCTTAATTATACAATTCTGTAGCTCCTGAAGCAATAACAACAATTAGGAACGTTGGATGATGTCTTAATTTAATTACTGTGAAAAATTCAAATTATTTTCAGAGCACTTAGACTAATAAGGTGGGAAGTTTCTTGGTTTGTTCCCCATCCTTCACTAAAATAATTCAAATAAAATGTACTGACAATTTAGAGGGTAAACATCATATATCAGAAAATTCCTGCATCCTGATGAAGCTGGATGAAGGAGTTATTGAAACATTAGGCCAGAAGTTCAAAGTTCTAAGTATTTAAGGCAGTTATTTAGGAGAATGGTTTCTAAAACCTACCCACATTTAATGACACTATCCTTCTGTCACCAAAGTTTTCTTTCTTTGTACTTCAAAGTACCTGATAAACTAGGAAAGACATTCTCCCCCTTTTCCAGTGCAGTAGAGCATTCTGTATTTTCCTAACACTGTCCTAAGAAACCGCTTCTTAAGGCAATCATCTATTCCTTTTTTTTCTAGGACTAAACACTCTTAATGAACAGACAGATGGGTTAAAATAGCTATTGATGACAATCTTTAACAAAGCTTTCAAAAAAAAGTTTCACTATGAGAAATTTTAAGTCTTGCCTATTGAAATATGTTAATGTTAAAGCTCTCTGGATCACTAGCAATGTAAAATATTAAATTCTGCATAGGCCTAACTAAAATACTCTAGTGTATTATAAGTTTTAAAATAACATCTAAAATATAATTTTTCCTTACCACTGATCCAAAATGTAATTCCTAATTTTCAAATAGCGTTCTGGTGTTTTAGCTTGGCGCCCCTCAAAAAACTCAGGAATTGCTTGTTTTTCTTCTTCTTGAATGATATTTCTATCTATTTCTACTTCTTGTTCTGGTGGCTTAAGCTCTTCTTCCTCATGGCTCTCCTCCTCCATTTGGCAGGAAGAATGAAAAAGCATTTCATCCTCACTCAAATCTTTCTGAACTTCACAAGGCTCTGGAGAAGGCAATTGCCTGGCATCATCTCCATTTCCATCATGCTTATCGCAGTTCTTCATCAGTTTATTACATTTCTGATTATTTAATTCAAAAACTGATTTTTTGTCACTGGTGCTCTGTTTTTCAGTCCAAAATGTAATTCTTGAGCTTGAAAGTGTTTCCATATCACCTTGCTTTATATTCTGAAAATATTCCTTGGAAGATTTAAAAATGGGGTTTTCCTGGCTGTCAGAAGCAATGACTTCTTGACTGGTTTCATGACTTTTACTATTAGGAATGTCAAGTAAGAGATCACTGCTAGGATTCTTCTGGAGAGCTTGAGAAGTCAACTCATCTGCCTCATCTGTGATGTCTACTTCTTCATCATCCGATAACTTTTCAATTCTGACAGCATTCAAGTTGGGATCAGCACGTCCCCTTAAACCTGATGGTGTCCATGCCTCTGTGCCCCCACCTTCATTTTTAATCTGAGGATCACTGCTGTTCTTCTGATCTGATGTTTCCTTCTCCAGACCATCTAATTTTACCTTATTAAAAATCAAGATAAAATCCCCATAATATTAACACTTTAAAATTTAATCATTGGCACAAAAAGTAGTATAAATACAATGTTATTAAACTGAATACATGTCAATGGTATATTATACCTTTATTGCGCTCTTCTTGGAAGAGTTTACAACTGCATTTTAAATGTCAAAGATAATCATTTCAAATTTCCATAAATACTTCACTCATTCATGATCTGGTGATTTTTTTATTAATAATCATGACCCATATAGAACTACTACTAATTTTTCAATATTAAGTTTAAAATAGGGACCTGGCTCAGATAAACCATAGAGAAAGAAGCAACAGCTACCACACTAAGGTATTCTCTAAGATACTAAAATATACATTTTTTGTGTGTGAGGCAGATTAGCCCTAAGCTAACATCTGATGCCAATCCTCCTCTTTTTGCTGACGAAGATTGGCCCTGGGCTAACATCCGTGCCCATCTTCCTCTACTTTATATGGGATGCCAACAAAGCATGGCTTGACAAATGGTGCGTCGGTCCACACCCAGGATCTGAACCCGAGAACCCTGGGCAGCCGCAGCGGAGTACGCAAACCTAACCGTTATGCCACCAGGCCAGCTCCGATACTAAAATATTTTTAAAGGCTTATTTCTCAGAATGTATGATACCTCAGCTGATCATTTTTTATAATGCTAAATATAATCTTTTATTTAAAGGAATCTATCTCACATATCTTTACTGAGTAAATTAAAATCATCTTTCATTTAAATGCAGACAACAGAAAAAAACTTTTTCACAGGTTCATTTAATATAGCTCTAATATTATAGAGCTTATAATTTAAGGCATGAAATTATCTTCTACATCTGCCATAAATATCTGATAACGTAACAAGGAAAAGAAAATGAATGTCAATGAGTATATATGATTTGAAATAAAATCTTTATACACAGAGTTTTTGAAAACTCTTACATATGACTGACATACCCAAGGGATGACAGCTCCCCAAGAGATTATTTATAGATCCTGTATCACAATAGAATCCCAGGATCTTGTATTTGAGGTAAACTGGCTTACTATGTAGTGGAGAATAAAAGAGTAGCAGGAGGGAAATGGAGATTTGGACACATAGCCTGAAATAGCCTTTAACAACCTTGCTATTTTTTTGACGTCTTCTGTTTTTCTCTTAAAAATTCAGATAAAATTTTGCATTATATTTCATAATATATTAACGTCTCTTTTAACATTAAAATGTACCCTTTCACCCCAAGTCTCTGAATAAAACTGACACCCTACGATGTACTGCATGTTCTAGTCTGAAATGCTTGGGAGTAGGAATAACCAAGTTAAGGTTTATTCTGTTCCATAATACCTTAACCTTGGAGAACTGCCTTGAAAATACTTTTGCTTGGTTAAAGAGGGAGCAGATGACTGATGTATGATGAATCCATTCCATTACTTACCTCCTATGCCCAAACGAAACTAAGTAAGATAAATCTTGTATACAGGGTAAAACCCATTATTTACATTAAAAGAAAACACCAAATTTCACTTAAGACACTTCAAATTCTATATAATTATGTTCCCAGAACTCAAGCAGAACATATTAAAAAATTCTACATATCAGAACTACATGGTTGAATATAGCACAGATTACTTGAAAGATTAAGAAACTAGACCATCGGGCCCAACCCCAAGGCCGAGTGGTTAAAGCTCTGTGCATTCCACTTCGGCAGCCTGGGTTCACGGGTTCAGATCCCGGGCGCGGACCTACTCCACTCACCAGCTATGCTGTGGCAATGTCCCACATACAAAATAGAGGAAGACTGCCACAGATGTTAGCTCAGGGCTAATCTTCCTTAAGCAAACAAAATAGGAGAACAGGCAACTGATGTTAACTCAGGGCGAATATTCCTCAGCAAAAAAAAAAAAAAAAAAAAAAAAAGAAAGAAACTAGACTATAACTATAGCTTTCTGAACACTGCAATTTATTAGTTTTCAGACAACTCTTCATAACAATTGTAAAAGTCTCATTGCTATTAAACAGATTTTAGAATAATGTTAGAATGTATAGAGCCCCTAAGCTCTAATCATTCTTAAAAGTTTCTATAATGCAAATATTTAAAAAGAAAAGATATTTTCCAGGAAACAATGATCTCGAAGGGTTTTCTTTCTGGAATACAACTTGCTTTATAGGATGTTTCTGAGCAATTAATATTTTGTCTTTCTAATTAACTGTATGAAATTAAGTGGAATAACATAATATCTATTTAATAGCAATACTCAAAACACTGAATATGTGCTTTGACATTTTTGAAAATAAACATTTGTAGAGTACTTTATGGGTATAAAATACTTTCACTAGAAAAACTCTGAACATTAAGACTTTAATGCCTGAATTAAAGAACTGTTTTTGCTTACTAATTTTATTTATTTTAAATATTATCACTATTAACTAGGATATTTATAATATTCCACTTACCTTAGTTTTAAAGTACTGTTTGGCATAACTCTTCACTTGTAAAACAGTGCGACTTCCAATTAGCTTTGCAATTTTGGTCCACCTTCGGCCAAATTTAGCCTACGTTATCAAAATGGAAAAAAAATCGCTTTTGATTGACTTACTTGTTAATATTCCAAGCAACTGCCACATTAAAAAAAAAAAACTAAAAAAAACCTCCCATCTTTATTTACCTTCTAAAGCACACAATGAAGCCTCATATAAAGCTAAGACTCTTAAAAAAGCCCATATTCTTCTTTTGGAATCTAGACTTCTGAAAACTGACCAGAATTATTTAGAAATTGGTTTTCTTTTTATAGCTATCTAAACAAAGATCCATCATCTTTATGTATTCCTAACAGCATGTACTCATGTTGCGTATTATGATGTTCCAAATATAACTTTTTTTAAAAAAAACAAGTGCCTTGAAAGGGAAGCAGGTTATGTTTTCCATTTATAGAATCAACTGCATAATTTCAAAAATTTTTTTTTTACCCAGATCCCATCTGTCACAACATCCATTACATCCCACAGTAGATACTTGTAGTCTATACAGCTCCCACAGAAAACTGACTTACAAGAGTGAATCACAAATGAAGCGACCTGCGACCAGTGCCTCCCTTCACCCCGCTCCTGTCAAAGGCTGTGCACCTGCTAACACTGAAGCTGTGTGGGAAAAACTGAGAACTTGTGGGAGGGCTGGTGTGTTCTCAAACGTAGAAAAGAATGCAAAATAACTTTAAAGCTAAAGGGATTTTTAGGTATCAAGTCTATCTTTGATACGTAAATCTCCTTTACAATATCTCCAACACAAGACACTCTCTACTTCCCAAAGTAGCTCAACAATCCCAGTTTTTTAGAATTCTTAAAACTACGGGGGAAAACAAAAAACCCAGCTACAACTCAGGGAAGCTGATCCTAGGGCCAGATTTACAGGCCAGGCAGTCATGACTTATGGTAGCAAACAATCTTCAAAGACCTGACCCAAATGATAAACCTTAATTTATAAACTTATTTCTGGTATTTATTAGGAAATCTGACATACGGACAATTTCTTAAAACTGAAAGTACTTCTGGGAAAATTATTAGTAAGTATAAATTAATTATTTAAGATTGTTCTTAACTAATATCTAGCTGAGATCAACTTACTGAAGAATTAGTTATCTTTTTTGGGGGATAAGGCAAATAGATAACTTAGTGGCATGGAGCACTTTTGCAGACAGCAAAAATCTGGATAAGGTGTGACCAGATGGGATTGTAGGGGCTTGAGCACTACGAAAACTAGAGAAGGGACACCAACAAGAGGAGCAAAAAAAACATTCATCAATTTCAAAACAGAGCAAAGGGACAGCTCTATGCCCAAGAAAGGGAAGGAAAAAATCTCCCTTGACCATTCAGTACCATGTAATTCCCTTCTCTTAAGCCTGAGAGAATTCAGTCTATGATCAAACTCTTGTCAAAAGATTAAAAAGGCTGGGCATACAATCAATAGCAACCTGTATTTCTCTGGGAAAACATTATAAGTTTAAAACATCTGTTTACATATATACGTAGATATCTATATTCATATATAAATAAAAGCTCAGTTATTTATATAGGGACAAAATATCTCCGGAAGGATACCTGAAGGACAGATGACAACGGTCACCTCAGGCAAAGAGAACTGAATGCTGAGACAGGAGTGAGAGGGAGACTTAATACCCCATAACTTTAGGTACCTTCTGAATTTTGAATCATGCAGATGTAGCCCCTAAAATTACCACCAATGCCAAAAGTAATTACCTAAAAATTCACAACCTGTTTGTGTGTGTGTGTGTCTGTCTGTCTATCTATCTATCCTTGGTCTTCGGTAAGGGGCAAAACACCAAATCTGTCAGCAATCTTAAATAAATGATTGGTTGATTAAAGTTAGATTATATAAATGATAATCATGCAACAATATCAATTGATATATTGAAATATCAACATAAAAAACATCAACAGTACAGGAGAAGAACCTTAGAAAGAGATAAAACCCTCAAGATAGTTGACATATTTACATAAAAACATCACAGAATATATAGATGTCATGGTGATGACTAACTATAAAAATACGAACACATTTTATTTCCTATCATCTGTAGAAACATTAACAATGATATTTCAACTTGCATTCATGAATCCTACATAAATATTATATATTCTATATACGTAATACATAAATATATGTAATTTCAAAATTAATTAGTACAATACTGAGTAACAATTACATTAAAGGAAAAGATACAACGTACTCTTGACAGTTAAAAACAAAAAATTCCTGAATATTTTGTTAAAAGTTTCTTCATATTAAGGAGTACTTTTAGTCTTAGAAACTGGTGTACATATACTTTCCATTATGTAACTTGTAGACATTTAAATAAATCTCAGTGTAACATAAATGCAAAAGAAATGTTTCTGGTCTTCAATTAAATCCACTAAAATATTTAGACTGTGCACAATGCCAAATATCTCAATAAAAAAGAATGTAGCTAATTACCCAGAAGTTCCAAATATACAAGTTTTTTTTCCAGAAAAAACATCACATAACTAAATAATTTTGCCTTTTAATCCAGGTAGTTGGTGTCACGTATACAGATACAGCTCAATTTCTTGGATATTATTAATACCAAAAAAAAAGGGTGAAAATTATCTAAACTGTTGATCCAAATCTATTTTAATATTTTAGTAACTTAGATATGAGTTAAAAGGAATTCTCTTGTAATACACTAGAAACATCATCACTCTACAAAAAAAATATAGGTGTGACTGTATTTAAAAAGAAATTTCCAGTCTCTACAAATTAATTTAAGCTTATAATTCTATCAATATTTGCTTCTAGAATTATTTTACTATAAATTAAAAATTGCTCTATTTACCAGCCCTTGTTCAAACAGCTCTTTTTCTTCTATCGTCCACTTTACTGAGTAACTGGCTGGTTTTGTAGGAGAGTGTACCCTGAGGGGAAAAAGAGGAATTGCAAAAAAAATTTCTGAAATGGAACATTCCATACTTATGCAGCTAAAGGTTATAGAGAGCCATGGGCTAAATTCAATACTGTGAGTCTAAGAATTAAAAAGATGAAGAAGAAGGCTGTAGCCTCTACCTGGGGCACAGATTTACTCTGTCTCGTGTACTTCTCTAGCTCAGCAGGGTAAGAGCCCCAAAAGACAACCCTTGGGTCTTAGTGAAGATAACACTAGAAGACATCAAAGGAAGTCAAGGTGATAACAGACAAATAGGCTTCCTTAGACTGGACATAAAGCAGCAGACGTTAATACGTTTCCAAATCCCGAATGTATGGAAGAGTTTACAAGGGCTCCAGAAAGATTATCTGATGCTTCCTTGTAAATCTATGTAAATATCAAGCCAGAAAAGAAGTGAAAAAACTATGGCATTATGTTTATTGCTTTCGAAATGCAGTAGCTTAAGAAATTAAAAAATAGTGATGAAGCTCACTAATTTAATTCAAGCAAACCATTAATCTTTTTATTAACTTCATTTTTTGTTGTTGTTTACTCAGCAAAATGCAAAGGCCAAAGTCTGCTCAGTGCTCAAACTTTGGCAATTGCAAATTTATAAGTTTACCCTTTAAGGGACCATAAACATGCAAGTTTATAAACACTAAATAACATCAAATTTTCTTCAATTATAGGGAAAGAATATTTATAAAATAGTTAATAATTTCAGATAATTTTTGAAAGCCACAAATTCAAATTAAATTTTTGTTTGAAATGACTGAAAATTAACTGACAGAGCAAGAGAAATCAAGTCAACTCCCAATAGATAACAGCTTTTAAAAATTTCCCTACAAATCCTTAGGAAACCATCTTTTCTATAATCTAATGAAATTACATATGCAGGGCCATAAAAGAAATTCTGGCAAATAAATAACATCATAAAATTATCTTGTGGCATTCCAAAATCTGTACAAAAAAATTCTGATTTGATATTTTTGCATAATCCAAGGTCAAGAGAGCTTCTCCACAGGCCAACTATAATTTTTTGTTTAATTCTCCCATAAATTTTAACTAATCAAAAAGGTTTTAAAATATAAAACATAAGTACATACATGACTTTTGCTGTTTTCTGCAGACTGCACCACATGAAAAAAGAAAATAAGGAACCTTGTGAAGAATTTTTTTAAAATATAATTTAGACTTTTAAAAATATTATAAATTGATTTTACCTCTTCATGTATTTTTTATCATCTTCCTTTTGATCAAGCCAGAATTTTTCTGGAAGTGATTTTTTAGATAAATAATACCTGTATAATTATTAAAGAAACTTAAAACAATAATAAAGCCATGTAATGTTTACGTCACTTTAATATAAAGTAGGCACTCACACACTCATGAAGGTCACACTTGAATCGTAGCTAAACCAACTCCTCTCAGAACCTTTTCCAGGTCTACAAAGATTATGATAAAAATATTGATACCCCACAGGGTTGTCGTATGGATTAGACACTACTTGTGAAATCACACAAACACAGTGCCTGCACAAAATGTGTGCTACATAAATGCTAGTTTCTCTTATCTTCCCTACTAAAAGTGGCTAAGAGATGTCCTCAATATTTTCTTTAAATCTTTTTTCCTAAAATAAATGGAGAATGTAATAGATGAATTTGATTAGTTGTCCGGAGTAATCTATGAGTGTTTGTTTTCATATTTCTAAACGTAACAGAGAAGAGTTCAGGGATGTACTCTACCGTAATAAAAATAACAAACACTTAGGTCAAATCTACCAGGGAGCCTCCCTCTCAAACTTCTTAAAACTGGCCTGCTGCCGTGCTCTTAGATTAGTCTGATATAGTCTTCCCTTAACCAATACTGACTGTATCACGTGTATGTTAGGCACTATGCTAGGTACCAGGTTCTGAGGACAAAGATACAAGAAAACATTACCCCCATCCTCCAAGACCTCACATAGCTTTTACTCTCAACATTTCTGTTTCCAAATGTGGAAGTGAAGCAGTGACTACTGAAGCATTCGTCAATCTAGAACTGCACTGTTCAATACGTTAGCCAAGAGCCCTGTGTAGCTACTTGAAATGTGGCTAGCACAATCTGAGATGTACTATAAAATACTGGATTTCAAAAAGTATGAAACAAAGAATGTAAAATATCTCAATAATGTTTTCATATCGATTAAATGTTATATTTTAAATATATTGGGTTAAATAAAATATATTAAAATTAATTTCACCTGCTCTAAACGTGGCTACTAGAAAACTTTAAATGATGTATGTGACTCACACTATTTTTCTATTGAAAAGCAATGATCTAGGCTATAACCACAATGTTTGGGGATAGTGAGAGAATAAGAAAGCCTCAAAGGGGTTAACCTACGATAATTAAAGGTAGACAGACACTCTGAAATCAATATAGCAATAACTGGAAATAAAGGGAACAGAGAAATTCTGGCTTAAAAAGGACATAGAAATTCATGAAATACAGATGAAAGAGTTAAAAATAAACCTCTACTTATTAGACTATTAATAATCTTTATAAATCATAAGATCAGAAACCAATTTGTTCAATCCTTTCATTTTACACATAAGAAAACTGAGTCTCTAAGAAGTTAAGTTGTCAACATCACAAACAGATGAAGGCAGCAAGGACAAGACGCCAGTGGCTGAACGTGGATAAGGATCTACAATTTCTGGGGGAAAAATTTTCATCCTCTGGTATTTGTTTTGTCCTTTTTACTTAGATTCCTCCCACATAACACCTGTAAATTGGCAGAGCAAGAAGTGAGAAGAACTTTTACATATTCTAATTCTGTGTTCTTGGACAAATTAACATCTCCTTTGAGTTTCAGCTTATATAACTAAAAATGGAGGCTTGGACTAAGTCATCTTGGACTTGGACTAAAGGTTCTAGTGACTTAAAACATTCTATAATTTCTAAATATTCAAATAGTATAAAGAGTTGGTTGACAAGAGAAACTCAAAAATACTGAGTTAGATCTCAGACTTAGCAGTAAAACAGAACTGGAGGAATAAAATGCTGTTTTTTGCATAGGTAGGTAACATATTATATAAAAGCAGTCTGGGGTCAAATAAAATCCATCTAGCAATTAACAGTGGTCTCTTTTGTAACTTTTGCATTTATAGATTTTTAACCCTAAAATCTTACTTTCCTCATAATCGTTAAAGGATACTCTTCTTCCAACAACATTTTCTCAATGACAGCTCTGTTCTCTTCACTGATGGTGCTATCCAGAGTCCAAGGCTATTAAAAAAGAGAAGAATATATTTTTTTTATTTACTGCTTTTTGAAATTATCTTCTACGTTTTATTAAATAAAAATATATAATGACACAATGATTACAAATAATAAAGCTACCATATATTGAGCACACAGACATATCTTTGATTCCCACAATAATGCTATGAGATGCACATCAATACTTCACAGATGCATCCACAGCACTGCTAGCGTTTCAAATAGAAGAGTAGAGACTTGACACAAGTCTGTTGGATTCCAAGGCTCAGGCTCCCACTCATGATAAAGTAATAATGGTTATCACGTATGAGGAACTATTCGGTGTCAGGTATTTTGCTAGATACTTTTCCTATTTCCAAAACTCACCACAATGCTCTTTTTTCCCTTAAGCCACAATCTCTTTAAATGATCATACTCAATTGCAACTCTCACAACTCAAAAATTTTCAGGTCTTCTCCAAGCTCTATCTAGACTGTTATATCCAACTGCTCACTCAAAACTTCCCCTTGGATATCTAGTAAGTAGGCTTCTCAAACTTAACATAGTCAAGACAGAACTCACCATTCACATACCTTCACTTTATTCTTCCCCTGCCTTCCCAACTTTGTAAATGACACCACTAGTCACCAAGTTATCCCAGCTAGAAACCCAGGAATCACCCTGGATGCTTTCCTTTTCCCTCAATCCCCATATCCAATCTACCAAGCAGTTCTACCTCCAAAATATAATTCAAATCTGTCTACTTTTGCCAGAACCTCAAGCCAAGTCACCATCAAATCTTGCTTAGATTACTACATATGGCTCCTAACTGGTCTCTTTGGTTCTACTCTCGCTTCCTACAAGTATGACAGAGCTCTTCTCTGCCTCTCTACCCTTGTCACAGCTGTCACTCCCTTGTTCCACCATATTTGAGACACTGGCTTTCAACCAGCACTTTTGTGCTGCTATTCCTCTTGTCTAAAATGCTTTTCCTCAACTTTTCATAAATCTACTCCTCACTTTCTACTACTTTTCAACTTAAATGTCACCTCCTTAGTTTCCCTTGCTAGCAACTTTATCTATAGTAGGTTCCCCACCTTGTTACTCTCAGTTAGCATCTTGCTTACATGATCTACAATTAGTTCGTCTACTTCTTTATCACCTGATTCCCCTTTAGAATATAAGCTCCTCGAAAGCAGGACCATGTCTGTCTTGATTATAGCTGTATCCCTCAAACTTGGCCTAGTGTCTGGCACATACTAAGTACTCAATAAAAAACTGCTAAATAAAGAGATGAACCCTGCAATGATCCCCACTTTTCAGATGAAGAAACTGAGGTTCACAAATTTGATAAGTGGTAGAGTAAGGATTTGTACCTAAATCTAGCTGGCTCTAAAGCTGTTTCCCAACAGGCCATTTTTCAAAGTCAAAAGAAATAAGAATAAGTTTCTTCTATTTTTAAAGTAAGAAAAATATTCCAATATATTACTTCTGTGACTGCTGAGAACTAGGACCAAGTGAAAAAAGAGGTACTCTGGGCAATGAGTTATAGCTTAATAGACCTGAAATTTTCATAAAATACTTACAATAAGACCATTCTGAGTTCTCCACGATGAATCAAGATAGTAATCTTGTTGTAAAGTAGATGGTGTATTTTCATCACTTCTGTAACCAAAAAAAATGGTACCAAAGTGATATTATACCAGTTAATGGATATAATTTACAGCACAGTGACTGGCAGGTTGCAGATGTTAAGCAAATATTTAGTTCCTTTCTCCCCTTAACAGCTTTAACAGTGCAGAAATGCCTGCTCTACCGCTTTGGTCTGTGAAATATAGAGTGGCTTTAAGCCACCCTATCTCAACTGCTAAACATCAAGTCTGTCCATTCCTTTTGTTTCCCAAGAATAAACAAACATTTTTACAGGAGGAAATAATAACCCAAAGCAGCAACCACAACATGCTCTGTGACTATGAACCAACCTTCAGATTTCTTTTGATGAGTATCCATGTGCATATAGGAATTCAACTTCACAATTTTTTTAGTTATATTTAAAGTATAAAGGACACTATCAACAGCACCACCCTCAAAATGAAGAAAAAATAAGAATAGATGGAAGAACCAAAATAGAAAATACTCAAGGAAGGACAGCACAGTAAAGAGATAAAAAAATGTGATGTTGTAATAACAACTCATATAATTTAAAAAAATTAACTCAGGTTATGTGGGGGCTGTTCTATGTCCATGGTAGACTAAACTTTGTTAATTCTCTCACTCCTTTCACTGAACTAATAAGAACTCTCTAAAGTCACACTGTTCACTTCATATGCAAAAAGACTAAATAGTTAAGTTTGGGGAGGCCCAATCTAAGATATAATTAAATTTAATATTTGCTTTCATACGTCTTGAAGTTATAAAGTTTCCTAGTAAAGTTACTGACTTTTCCCAGACCTAGTCTAGCGGTAAGGATTTTGTACCTATTAGACTGCAAAAACCTATCCATAGGTTTATACTTTTAAATCTTCAATTGGTCCTACAGTGATTAAAATAAATTGTGGGACTAACAGACTATCTACAATGAACTAAAAGCAATAATTTCTCTCAATTGTTGACGGCCAAAAGGTTGTAACTCAAGTGCCAACTCTATTTGGTAGAGCCTACCAGGAATGCTAAACAAGGGATCCTGAGACTTGTATCAGCAGAAGGAAATCTTTGCTTAACCAACTTGTTCTGCTAAGCGTGCAGGAAGTGGGACTAGCATCGCTTCAAGTTTACTGCAGAAATCTTTTTACATAGTATTCCTCAGTAAAGACTAGCAACATCCACACCTCTGGTGTATGCATCTGGACACCTACCTGAACCTCCACAGGTACTACAAATTAACCTGTTTAAACCTTAGCTCACCTTTCCTCTCAAATCTGCTACTCTTCCATTGTTCTCTATATCAGTCAACAGCATCTCCATTCCCCTAACGGCCCAAGATAGAAAGCTCAGTCTGCCCTATTTCCTCACATCGCACATTCAGTCTGTTGCCAATTCTGTTGCTTCTCAAAGCTTTTTCAAATCCAGTCCTTCCACCGTATCCACACTACCTCTGAGGTCCCGCAGTTTCAGACCTTATCATTTTCCTGGGTAAGTGTACATGAGATAAAGCTGACAAGCCATCCACCTTCTCTCTTCTATCTTTTTCTACTTATCTCCATCTGGCATACATAAAAAGTTCTATGAGAGCCAGGACTCAGTTTTGATAACTGTTACATACCCAGGGCTTGGTATATAAAAGGTGCTTAATCAATATTCGTTGAATGAACAATTGAATGACGTAGGTGGGGCATGGATCATACAGGTCTCTAAAAGTTAAGGAATGAAGATTTTATCATAAAGCCAAGTGGGGATTAAAGGGAATAACATGATCAGATCTGGATGTAAGAAAGACTGCTCTAACTTCAGGAAAGAACCGAAGGGGGCTTAAGAGACAAGGAGCAGTTAAGAGGGAGTGATCTCATAAATACCAGAGAGAGGTGACAGTAACAGACCTAGCGAACAGACAGTGTGACTAGGAAGTGAATACATTTGAGAGGATACTTAGAATCAACAGACCCTTAATAAGTGATAGGCTAGAAGGAGTGGAAGAAGAGAGTAAAGAAAAGGGATAAAGTCTAGGTCTGTGCCTTGGGCGAGTGGGTGGATGGTGCCATTCATTCAACTAGGAAACCTGGAGAGGCAGGTTTGGTGGGGAAAGTTCATAAGCTGAGATTGAAGTGCTTGTGGTACATCCAAGGGCAGACAGATTTCAGAGAGGTGGATAAACGGATCTGAAGCTCAGGAGAAAATTTGGGTTGGTGACAGATTTGGCAAACATCAGCATGTTATTAGGTGGAACTTAGAAAACTGCCATTTTTGTAGGTCAAAAATTGGCAAAATTTCATATGGTCCAACCTCAGAGATAGAAATTTAAGTCTTCTGGATGATCTCACCAGGGACTGTGTGGTTAGTGAGAAGTCTTATGATAAAACCCCTAGTAACACTATGATTTAAAGGACAAGCAGAAGAAAAGGAGGACGAGAAGGAATGGTAGAAGCAGAAGGGAAACCAAGAAGTGTCAATGCCATCTTCTAACTCTGGTACCGAGCACCTAGCAAGTACTTAAAAGTGTGTTTTCAATTAATCTTCAAGGGTTCCACAGATGTTATCATCAGCTGTAACTACATACTGCAGGGTGCATCATTCACACTAAATTCCGTATGATCAGAGCCCCAACACCAGGGAGCACCATTTACCAGAATATAATGTTATTGGTGCTCCTCGGAGTTGTGTAAAGCAATGGCTCTGACCATCAGGAACCAATAACCTTTGTTTTCCTGCTTGCATGAGACTAGGGAGGTCACAGGTGCCACCAGTAGACCTAAGGCTCAATCAAGACAGCAAGAGAAAGGAAAGAAAAAGAGGAAAGGGAGAAAAATTAAACACAATCAGAAAATAAAGAAGAACCCATGTAAAAAGGGTAGAGCCAATGCTCTCAGATGATCTTTAGTGTTTCCAAGCCCAACTCATTTCTCTAGAAGCATCCTTGCCCACTCATCTCATAGCCCTGTTGTGACAAGTAAATTAAATCATGCATGCAAAGCCCCTGGTCAAGAGTAACTCCTCTACACAAATGTGAACGATGACTGTTATTAAAGGCTTCTACTCATCTGTATGACTTTGGACTGCTTTGCCTCAAGATTTGGGCGAGAACGACTATATGAATTTAATTACTCCTCACATTTTTATAGTGCTTTAGAGCTCAGGAGAACTTGAAACCCACTATCTTAGTCCCTCCTGGGCAGGGTTAGTGCTCTTCTCCCACAATTTACAGAGGCCCTAATATTAGGTGGGACCATATGAAACTGACATTTTATAGGTCAAAAATGGTCTAAGATTGGCAATTTCACATGGTTCAACCTAACAGACTTCTAATGAAGTTGTTCATAGTTACAAGCAACAGCTGACGGAGTTTAGAACTGAGGTCTTCTTATTCCTGACCAGTCTAGGCCTCTTCCATTACTAAAAGGAGACTCTGGAAGCACATTTCAAAATGGTATCAATTTCTTACTCGAAAGGCAAGCAACGGGCTAGATCTCTCAAGCTGGAGGTTACAGTGTAAAACCACATTGGCCTGCTCTGCAGGAATAGCTATTAAATACACTGTGACCCCTCAATGAGTCCTCACAATACCATCTCTGAGGGTAACGGGATGGTAAGGAACACATTGACGGAGCACCTACCGTATGCTAAGGCACATCCCATAATTATTTCATTGGATCCTCACAGTAACAGTCTGAAGTACGTATCTTGATTGTCAGTGTACACGTGAGCTGTCTGAGGCTCAGACCAGTTAAACGTCTGGCCCAAGGTCACACTGCTGGTTACCGGCAGGGCCAGCCAATGCAGGAGAAGCCAGAACCGTCCAACTCTAAAGCCCGCCCCCTCTCCTTGAAGTCGAGCTGCCTCCCAGGAAGTTTTTCACAACTATCCCCATGTGGAAGAGGAAAGCTGTGCCAGGAGGGATGAAACGACACGCCCAAGGTCACACGGCTTGCAGGCGACGGCACAAGGATCCCCGGGCTCAGGCCCAGTCCAGAAGCCGCCCTCGTTCTAGTTACTGTCGGAGGGGGCGAGGGGGCGAATGCTGGGGTGGAGGTAACGGAAAAAGGAATCTAATCGCTGGATGGGGCGCACAGCCGGGCCAGGTCGGCGCCCTCACACATCCAGCGAAAGGTGAAGGAGCCCTCCGGCACCAGCCCGGTCCCGCCGCCGGGCTCAGGAGCGGCCGGCAGACGGATGGGCGCGGCGCTCCCCGGCCGCCGGAGACCCCGGCCCAGGGGACGGTCTCACGCTCCCCCGTCCCGGCCGGGCCCGAGGCCCTCCCAAGATACTCTAAACGCTTCCCCGCCCTCCCCGTCCCTGAGAGACCCGGTCTCTACGCCTCACCCGGGCTGTGCCGCCGCCGGCACCACGTCCCCTTCAACATCCACATCCGCCTCTTCAGCCGCCATGATGGGACCTGACTGCATCCGGCATCCCGAGAGATCCCGCGAGAGGCGGAGGGCCTAGGGGCGGGGCCGACGCGTCGCGGGGCGGAGTCGCAGCCTCGTCCAGCCCCTCCCGTGGCGGGGAGGCGGGGCTTCCAAGAGAAAAGCAGCCTGCTGCAGCCCAGGCGCGGTCTTTCTGACTTTAGTGACGCGCGAAGACATTGCGAAGTGGCTTAGGCTTGGGCTTTGAAGAGACCATGCGCTTGCACAAATTCTCTGGCGCCTCACTTCTTTCATTTGTAAGATGGGGATAATAGTAGATATCTTTCTGGAGTGCAGGAAAGGGCACGCCAGACCTGCTTTGAACTGTGAGGTGGCAACAGTGAAGGACCCTTACCTGCTTCTTTTCTTTTTTTTTTTAAGAAAAGGATCGTTCGGCACTTATGTGAAGCGGTGAACAACTTTTATTTTAAAATTAAGCAAACATTTAAGAATATAATTTATGATTGCATGTTTTATTTTGTAGAAATCTTTATAATTAACGAAAAAATTACTTTCGTCTCGTCACCATTGATCTTTGCAATAACCCAGTGAGGTAGGCAGGACTGGTGTCATCAGTCACACAGATGAGGAAACTGAGGCTCAGAAAGCTGAAATGACTATGAGAGGATACACAGCTATTCAAAGACAGGGCTGGGACCACAATCCAGCTCTCTTGACTCTTTACTGAGTGCTCACCCTCTACAAATCATGCTGTTAGGAACTATGACAGATAAACACCATGTTTCTCAAAGAATTTATGGCCCCTCAAGAAATTAGATATTGGCCTTATGTATTCTTCTACCTTAGTATCTATCACTCACATTATTGTAACTGTTCATTCGCTTGTCTGCCTCCACCACTGGACTGTGAATTCTCTCAAGACAAAGGCTGTATCTGCTAGTCTTTATACTACCAACATTCAGCATGGTGTCTGATACATAGTAGGTGCTCAATAAATATCAAACTGATGAAGGAATGAACCAATAAATCAATGAAATGAGTTCACTTCCTACACTATTCTTGATTTGTCCCATCTCACCTTTGCTTGTGCTCAGGGCATAAGATGAGCTGTACTGTGAATGTGATGGCAGACGGTAGAGAGAAAGATTTGTAAAGAGGGAGATCCAGTGCTCAGAAACTGGATACTGCCCTAGCCTTAGGCCACCGTGGGAATGCTGTTCCTGTTGTCAAATGGCTTATCCAATGATCAGTCCCAATGGTAACTGGCATACCTGGCACAGAGTAGGCATTCTAAGATGTTTGATGAATTTAATTTAGAGCAAGGTTAGAAAGATGTACATGGCCAGATAGTCAAAAGAAATGTCAAATACACATGCTTTTAATTGATCTTTACGTAGCAGGCTGAGATGGGAACCCTAGCAGGACAATCTGGATACACATGATATCAAATGTCTCCTAGACCATAAAACAGAATACCATGTGAACAGCATCTCCTGCAATGCAGCACTGGAGGTCTTCTGGCCCAGTGCCAGACATCAATAGGCATTAAAATATATGTGGAAGGAAGGAAAGGCCTGCACAGAATTCAAGTATGCCCCCAAGGTCTTTAGATGAAGAGGCCTCCCTAAACAGGGAGACTAGTCTGAAGCCTTCCCATACATACCCCACACCATGCTCCTGGTTAGTTAGCTTTATGTGAAATAGGTTCATAAGTGTCTAAGCACAACTCCACCTGCCAGGATAGGGCTATAACCTCACAGTCAGGTGAACTCTTGACTGAGGCCTGGCTACTATTTAAAATTCTCTTTTCTAGAGGTCTGCAACTCTGTGACTTGTTTAAAGACCCATTTTCTCACCAAGTAGTTTGAAAGCAGGATGAAGAATTCAGAATTCATATTTCACAAATACTTTTTGTACTCCTACTGTGCTTGATACTGGGGAAATGGCATTGAACAAGATGGACTCAGTCTCTGCTCTCGTAAAGTCTATCAAACATGCAATTTCAAGATGATATAATAAGTTCTATGATGGAGGAGTTACAGGCTGCTGGGGGGGTCACAGAGGAGGGACACTTATCTCAGAATCAACCCTTTGCTGTACCACATTTTTGAGGAGGTTATTGATCAGTCAAAATTTGAGAGTAATGTTCTAGACTCGGGAATGCAAGATAGAAGACTCTGTTCCTAACTTAGAGAAAGAACAAATGGAAAAAGATTAGCAGGAATAGTGCCTGGTACTTATACAGAGCTAGGAATAGTGCCTATTCCCACTGACCAGACTGGAAAACCTCATGATTCGTGAAGCACTGGGTAGATAACTCGGAATAGTATTGCCTAAGTCATGGAGAATAATAAGCTATGGGTGGAGCACTGCTCTGGTACTGCCTAACAAATCTTCAAGACAAGATCTGAAAGGATCAAACTGTTTCCAGGTAAATGTAACTGTGCCCTCCCTCCCCAAAAAATCTCAAGAATATTTGTAGGAATACAAAAATTCCCAGCACCCAACAGAACAAATTTCAAAATATCTGGCATCCAATTACCAGGCATGCAAAGAAGTAGGAAAATATGACCCATAATAAGGAAAAAAAGTCAATCAATTGAAACCCATCCAGTACTGACACAGATGTTAGAATTAGCATACTAAGACATTAAAACAGTTATTTTAACTATATTCTATATGTTCAGAAAGTAGAGACATGGAAAATACAAAAAGGAATGAAATTGAATTTCTAGAGATAAAAACTACAATGCCTGAGGTGAAAAATATACTGGATGAGACTAGTGGCAAAGTAGACATTGCAAAGGAAAGTATTGGTGAACCTGAGCACATAATAAAAGAACTATCTAAAATGAAACACACTGAGAAATAAAAAGGTTAAGAAGTGTACAGAAAATCAGTGAGGACAACTTCAAGCCTCCTAATATATGCGTAATGGGAGTCTCTGAAAAGTGAAGGGTGGGAGGTCAGGAAAAATATTAGAAGAAATAATGATTGAAAATTTTTCCAAATTTGAAGAAAACTGTAAACTTACAGATCCAAGAAACTCAAGGAACCCCGGGCAGAAGAAACATAAAGAAAACTACACTAAACCACACTGTAATCAAATTGCTCAAAACCAGTGATAAAGAGGAAAACTTTCCAGAGAATAAAGGCATGTTACCTACAGTGGGAAGATAAGAATGACAACAAACTTCTTGTTGGAAACACTGGAGGTAAGAAGATGGTGAGTCAACATCTTTAAATTACTGAAAGGAAAAAAGTCAGACAACTTAGAGAACTGTACACCTACCAAAATATCTTTCAAAAATGAAGGCAAAGTTAAGCCTTTCTAAGACACAAAATCTGAAAGAACTCGTCATCAACCTATCTTTACAACAAGAAATGTTAAAGGACATCCTTCAGGCAGAAAGAAATGATAGATGAAAATCCTGATCTGCATAAAAGGAGGAAGAATGCAGGGAATAGAAACTACAGTCACATGCCACATAACAACATTTCAGTCAAGGATGGACTGCATATACGACGGTGGTTGCATAAGATTAGTACCATATAGGCCGGGTGTGCAGTAGGCTATAGGATCTAGGTTTGTGTAAGTACACTCGGTGATGTGTGCACAAGAATGAAATCACCTAATGGAGCATTTCTTAGAACGTATCCCCCTCGTTAAGCAATGCATGACTGTACATGGTAAATATATAAGATTTTTTCTTAGAGTTTAAATCTCTTTAAAAGAGAGTTGACTGTTTAAACAAAAATAATAACAATGTAGTGTGAGATTTATAACATATGTATAATTAAAGTATATGACAACAATAATATAAAGTCTGATGAGAAATGCAAGTATATTATATAAGGTTATTATATGAAGTGGTATAATATCACTTGAATATGTTATCACTGTGATATACTACAGATGTATTGTATAAACCCTAAAGTAATCACTACAATAACAAAACAAAGTTGGCTTGAAATGTGGACAAACAAAAAAACAAAATAAAATCTTCTCTCATTTATGCCTTATGTTTCCTATGGGCACTAAGCTAATTATTGAGAATTCCCTTCTCTCCACATCCTCTCCAGCACTTGTTGTTTTTGTCTTGATAATTATAGCCATTCTGACGAGAGTGAGGTGATATCCCATTGTAGTTTTGATTTGCATTTCCCTAATAGTTAATGATGTTGAACATCTTTTCATGTGACTGTTGGCCATCTGTATATCTTCTTTGGGGAAATATCTGTTCAGGTCTTTTGCCCTGTTGAGGTGTATGAGTTCTTTATATATTTTGGAGATTAATCCCTTATAAGATATATGATTTGCAAATATCTTCTCCCAAATGTTGGGTTGTCTTTTCATTTTATTGATGGTTTCCTTTGCTGTGCAGAAGCTTTTTAGTTTGATGTAGTCCTATTTGTTTATTTTTTCTATTGTTTCCCTTGCCTGGTCATACATGGTGCTTGAAAATATTTTGCTAAGACTGATGTTGAAGAGCATAGTCCCTATGTTTTCTTCTAGAAGTTTCACGGTTTCAGGTCTTACATTCAAGTCTTTAATCCATTTTGAGTTAATTTTTGTGTATGGTGTAAGATAATGGTCTACTTTCATTATTTTGCATGTGGCTGACCAGTTTTCCCAACGCCATTTATTGAAGAGACATTCCTTTCTCCATTGTATGTTCTTGGCTCCCTTGTTGAAAATTAGCTGTCCATAGATGTGTGGGTTTATTTCTGGGCTCTCGATTCTGTTCCATTGATCTGTGTGTCTGTTTTTGTGCCAGTACCATGCTGTTTTGATTACTATAGCTTTGTAGTACATTTTGAAATCAGGGAGTG